ATTCCTTAAATTACTTTATCAATCCCCTAAATTACTTTATCAACTCCCTAAATTACTTTGTCAATTCCTTAAATTACTTTATCAATCCCCTAAATTATTTTTTATAATAAAGAAAAGAAAGGTCATGGAAAAAAGTTTTATAAAGCATAAATGGCAAAAAAAATTCTTCATATGTATTTTGTATGACAAAATGAAGAAATCAAAGATATGATATCATTTTATCAAATGCTGTAAAAGTAAGGAATAATATGGTCAAAAGTTTGAACAGTTTAATTAACTTAATTAATTACTTTTGAATGGGTATGACTGTTAAATTGAAATATATAAAAGGAGTGGAAAAAATGCAAAATTTACTCCAATATAATGGACTTTTATATGTTATTAAACATTTTATAAGTAATTCGTTGACAAAATTAATCAGTCCATTAAAGAGTGCTGCACAACAGTGCTAATTAAGGAAAGGCTAATTAATTCTAATCCTTACAGGTAAAGTGCTTTTCAAGCTTATTCAGGTGTTCCTTATCAAAATGATAAGAAATATGAAATATATTTCAATATTTAAAATTCATAAGTGGGAGGGAGAAAAGAAATGAAGGAAATAAAATGCTAAAATGTGGTAAATGAAACTAAAATACATGTAAAATAAACTTGGTTAATTTTAAATTGAAATGAGGTATTTGTGCTTAAAATACTTTAAATAGTTGAGCAATATTAGACGAAGATTGGAAGTAATTAGTCTTTTTCTTAATTAGTATTATAATTAATTAATAAATCAATATTTCGCTGATCTTTCGCTTTTCTTTTTGCAAATACTTTTTCAGGCTCATCCAGGTGACGCAGCTATTCCAGTTCCATACATTTCAAAACTTGGTGCTAAATTACAACCTGGCCAAACTCTTGTCGCACATGGTACTGTCGAATCGGATGCAACACAGTAAGTAATGATAAAATATTGTATGTATTATGCTAATTTTATTATTTATCAAGTAAGATGTATTAAATTTTTCTGAAGTTATGCTAATATTCGCCAAAAAAAAAGGACTTTTCAAATGTTACCTTTGATATAACCTGTCTTATTTAAATGCTGACACATGATGAGATTCATATTTGAAAGTTTAATTTTTGATATGTTAATTAATGTTAATGCATAATTGAATTTTTCGAATTCATAAAACAGGTAATTGAAAAGATTAAAGTAGATTTATAAACAGTTATTAGTATTTCATAAGCATTTATCAGCAATTCATAGGCAATTATTTGTAGTTCATTGGCAATTATCAGTGATGCTGTAATATTATATAGAGGTGTTACTTAAGATTTAATTATAATTTAATCGTTTTAAATCAATTTTAATACTTCTATCCATTTATATTTATCCATACATATAACATTTTTATAGTTTTGAAGTGAATCTTTTAAATGGTTCAACGAATATCGAAACATCAAAATCAACCATTTTTCATATGAAAGTTTATTTCAAAGAAAACAAAGTGGTCTACAACACTTATGAGGTTTGAAATTTGATGATGATCTATTGAAGGTTATTGAAGAGATGAAAATTTTTATAACATTCTAGGAAGGAAGTAATCTGGAATACAAGTCTTAGCATATTAAACTTAGGTCACTTTATTATCATTAGTTAATTAATGTCATTAGTTAATTGTCATTAGTTATTAAACTATTAATTAATAAAAGTAACAGATGATTTTTCCCTTTTTTGCGAATATTTTTGGATTAATTTTTATGAAGTAAGAAGTATTAGTTCTCAATTCCTTCTAATTATAAGATTTTATGCGAAACTTATATTTAGTAATTTTACCACTTTGTTTATATCATTCATTTCTTTATTACAAAAAAAAAAAAAAAATTTTACACGAAAATTTGGAATAAATTACGAGAAAAATGATAGTTGATAAGGATTATCATTATAATAATCAGTAATCGAAGCTACGCAAAAAATTAAAAAATGGAAATATTTTATAATTTGATATTCATCAACTTGTTTTAAGAGAGAGAGAAAGAGAAACTGTTTCGTATTTAATTGTTATCCGTATCGGAACATAATGTTACATAATGTTCAGGTATACTAAATACCGGATGCTATATTATTTAATTGTTATTCGTATCGGAATACATAATGTTCAGGTATACTAAATACCGGATACTATATTATGGTAAAGAATTATGTAATAATGATTTTGCATTAATTTGTATATTTTATACAATATTCATTTTCATCAAACTTATAATTATTTAGAATGGTAAATGGGGAAAGGAGGAGAAATCATCGAATCCGTTTAAAAAAGGTGACAATTTTGATCTTCGCATACGAATTCACGAAGATAAATTGGAAATTTTCGGGAACCAGAAAGAGCTTCATGCTTATAAATCTCGTATCAGTATTGATACTGTGGAATATCTGACCATTCGTGGAAATGTCGCATTAAATGGTGTACATTGGGGTGGTCGTTATTATAGTTTGCCATTTGAAACACAATTTCCAGGAGGTCATCTAAATGCCGGTGAGCTATTTGTTATTTTTTCTTTTTATCATAAAATCACTTTATCATAAAAGAAAAGTAATTTATAATTACGATCATATTTTTATCAGCTAAACTCTACATATTGATTAAATTATCGATAATTTTAATCTCTTAGTTGGCACGATTGATTTTTCAAGACTTTTAGGTCATAATATCTTAGCATTAGCAATTATTGCTATTCAATAAAATTTTAAAATGAATTTTTATGTATCATTTCTTACCATACATAAGTAATAATTCGCTTAATTAATTGTTCCTAATTTAATGAGAAATGAAGTTTGATGCATTTTCTAAAAACCATTTAAAATGAAACAAAGAAATAAATTTCAAAAATTAAATTTAAACTTAAATTTTTAGTAATTATCAAAAGGTATGTTTTGTATTATCTATGTAAGATTTATTGAGAAAGCATCGTTCACCAAAAACGATTAATTTACAAAAAAAAGAAAGAAAAGAGTTTGGAATTTTAAAACGACTGACAAAAACAGCAATGATATTTTATTGTGAACGCCAATAAGTTTGTTTTTCCTTTAAAAAAAAGTTTCAAAAATAAAAACGTTATAAGTTATCGTAAAAGGAAAGGAAAGGAAAATTGATAGTCATAATTTTAAAAATATTTACTTTATTATACCTGTTTCTATTGCACATATTTTTTTTGATGAAAAAAAATTAATTTCGATTCATTTCAATCAATTAAATTGTTTGGGGTCAAAGTTCAAGCCGTATTTAGGATATTTATTTATTTTTACAATTTTAAAAAATAGCAAACAAAGAAATTTTCATCATTTTTTATTGTTTTTTCTTTTTTTTTACATAAAAATAGTATTATATATATTTTATATTTTTATTAAATGATTTACATTTATTAGTTATGAAATAATTCGAACACAAAATTAGAATTGACATTGTTTGATGAGTAGAAGAGAAAAGGATAACTTGGCTACATTCAATATTTATCAAAGTAATCTTTATCAATTGTAGAAGAACGAGTTTACTTGTACGGTATTCCGAAAGGTGAACGTTTCGAGATTGATTTCTTAGCAAGAAATGGTGATATTCTATTTCACTTCAATCCACGTTTCAAAGAAAAACAAGTATTTTAAATTGAATTTTTGATTAACTTTTGATTCTTTTGAAAATCTTTTTTTAATCATTTTAAAGAATATTTCCGGCGTAAAACGACAATCTTTGATCTTAATTTTCAAAATTTTTTCACATTTAACATATCTTATTTTTAATTATTTTCTGTTGTAGGTAATACGCAATGCAGAAATTGGTGGCGTTTGGGGACAAGAAGAACGTGAAGGAATATTTCCGTTCAAGAAGGATATCGGTACCGATATTACCTTTCATAATGCACCTTATTCTATTCAGGTAAATAATTTATGTTAGACCCAATAAATTATTAATTATATTTGTCGAGATGATAATATTTATAGAATAAGTAAACTAACAGAAAATCATAGCTATTGATTACTTCAGTAAGTATTACTTAAATTTTGTGTAACTTAGCAGTATAACCTTATTATTTGTTTTTCAAATAAGTTATTGTTTATTTGTCGATGAAATTTTTCATCATTTAATGAGCAAGAACAAATTCAACAAGTTATACTTATTTGCTTCATATGAATATGCTAAGTATTCATTGAATTCTGAATTCTAAATGAATTTTAATTCCAAAAATCATTAAATTCTAAAAATTAATCCATCTTATTTATGAGCCGAAATTATACAAATTCTAGTAAAACATTTAGATATTTGTGGATGGTAAACGTTATTGTACATTTGCGCATCGTACATCAAATCCTGGTGATGATTATATGGCTCTTCGAGTAGCTGGTGATTTTGAGTTAGTCGGGATGGAATTTACGATGTAAACGGAGTATTTTCACTTGGCTTTATTTTTTTCTTGGCTCTTTTTGCTTCCATATTTAATCTCGTATTATAATTAATTATAAATTGCATTCTTGCGCTTTTTCCTATTTGTGTATGACAACTTGATTTGCGTGGTATATAATTTAATAACGTGTGTAAATTCCTGATAGCATTAATTTCATCTTTAAAATCTATCTTAAAACTTTGTTCTTCAAAAATTTGAAACTTATTGAACTTTTTCGTCTCTTTTTTAATTTACCAAAATTTGAAAATATTGCTAGTTTTAAAGTTAAAAATTTAATTATTAAATTAAATTGATATTTCAATTTATTTTTTATGCTAAAATTTGTAGCAAATATTCAGTAATTCAAAAGTTATCAAAGTTGTTTTACTGAACTGATATTACGATATAAAAATAATTAAAGAATTTTCTTGGATTTCTTCTCCGTATTAATCGATTACATAAAGTTTTTTCTGTCCATTATTAGTATTTGAATTTGTTTTAATTTTACCATGACGACATTGTACAACTCTTTGAACATTCTAAAACGATAGTATCATTTGGGATATTACGGCACGATATTTTGCAACTATATGAACATTCTGAAGTAATAACATCATTTAAGATTTTGGATGAACTAATTTCATTAAAGTGTAAAAATGGAATAAAGGAAAGAAATGAAAATGAAAAAAAAGGTGAGAAAAAAAAATGGAACAATTAAAAATGAAAATGATTATAAGCCTAAGGAATGAGTTACAACGAAAACTGAAAAAAAGAAATCAAAAGGAAAAAAAAATCAGACAATATTTTGATGCAAATTAATTCATTTCTTTGGGGATTTCAAAAATTAACGGTTACTAAGTTTCACTCTTTTTTTTTTTAAACCAAAATATTTATTTTTAAAACTGAAAATTAGTAGTTTTAATACTGAACTTTTTAATGCTGAAAAAGATTTCCTTTTACTACTCATTCCATACACATTTATGTTGTATGTTGCAGTTTCAATCAATAAGGTTGATTGACTTAATTTAGTAAATAATTAAAAATTTAATTAACAATGCGACGTATGATTGACTATTAGTTGTTAATGGCAATGAAGTATTGTAAAGTTAAAAACTCCGAAAAATTGTCAAAATCTTTACGAAAAAAAAAATTGAAAATATTAAAAGGGAAAAAGAAATGAATCAAATCCTGATTTATGTGAGATCCGCAATAGTTTCATTTGTATATCACTGATCGATCTATTGTCAGAAACTTCGTACAATTCAATGCATGGCTAATCGACGTGTCTAAATGTCATAGTGTGAATGTTTGGATTGATGGTGTGTTGCGGTTTGGATGGTGCCGA